GGTCGAGAGAGTAGATATCCTCCTGTTGCGCGATGCAAGTCGCGAGGAGGTCCGTGACATGGTTGAGCAGCTGAGATACTCTGCTCCCAACGTCAACGGGATCGCCGTTCTCGGCCTCCTTCTGCCAATGCTTGGCCTGTGCGTGTAATGCACTTTCCTCCCTGAATATGATCTCGCGTCGCCGTACGCGTTCTTCATCAGCGGCCTTGGCTGCTGCTGTCGCGTGCTTCTGCCGCTGTTCTTCCGCCAGAAGACACTGTTTCTCTGCCTCTGCTTCTTTCTTCTTCCGTGCCGCTGCCGCTGCGTCTGCCCGCTGCTTGGTTTCAGCCATGATGGTCGCCAGCCGTGCCTCGTAGGCCTCGTCAGTCTCGCCTGCTTTCTGATCCATCGCTGCTGTCTGCGAGCGAGTAAGTATGGTCATGCGTGGCGGGTCCCTGACGTGGCCTGCTGAAGCGAGGACTTACCTGGCCTGCAACTGCAGGTGAATGGGCAGGTAAGAAGGACGGAGAAGGGATCAAGGGTTCGGGTGGAGAGAAGGGGAGTGGGCAATCAGATGGTCGCCGAGATATGGAGCCACTAATAATAAAAAATTGGGAACTTGCAGCAATTTTGAAAAAAAGAAAAAAATTCGAATTTGCAAGCAAGTATCCCCTCAGCAGTCAATTTGAAAAAAAAATTCGAATTTTAGGCTGCAAATGAATCAAAATCATAAATGGAGATGATGGGAATGCTGAACTGCGAAAACAGAAAAAAAATAACAATTTCCGCAGGTCCAGAAAATTCCGAGACAGAAAAAAAATTCGGAATTATGTTAGGTGAGAGTATATGCAGTTTAAAAACAACGTTTGCAAGAGGAGTTTCCCGAAAGGCAATTTCCGAAATGTGGAGAAAAAGACTTTCCGAAAAATAAAAAAACTTTCGAAGTTGAAAAACGAATTTCACAAATAATTTCGGAATTTGAAAACGAATTTCAGAAATAATTTTCGAAATTGAAAAATGAATTTCGGGAAAAAATTCGGAAGTGAAAACGAATTTCAGAAACTGAAAAACGAATTTCAGAAAGAATTTCGGGAATGAAAAACGAATTTCAGAAATTATTTCGGAAATGAAAAACGAATTTCAGAAAGTGCAACACGAATTTCAGAAATAATTTCGGAAATGAAAAACGAATTTAAAAAAAAATTCGGAATAACGGGAATTTTCGTAACGGGATAAAATCGAAACTTTTCAAAAAAAATTCCGAACTTCTCTGCCGCGAAATTCGAAATGACAGATTAAAAAAATTTCGCGAAATAAATAATGGGAAATCGCAGTATTTCGGATCTCCAGCAACGAAGTTTCGGGTTTCAAAAAAAAAAAAAGAAAAACGAACTTCCAGATGCTCCGCTATTGTTACAAAAAAAAAAAATAGCGGGAAAACGAAATCCGAAAAGGAGAAAAAAAATTGATTGTCAGCAGTTAGGTCAAAATTCGCGATTTGGGGACTAATTAGTATAACCTAACCAATCAATCAATCAATCAATCAATCCATCCTCAATCAATCAATCAATCAACCCGGGAACAACCAATCGATCCAGGATCAACTAATCAATCAATGGATACTCACCCAATCAATCTTGGGTGGTCCCCGTGTACGCGTCAGATCAGGTTTCGTCCTGATTCACATACAGCAGCTCCGATACCAAAACTGACGCATGCTCAGGGAAGCAATGCGCAGTAGACCAAAGATCCGCAATGTGATGAAAAGGACTGAAATGGACAATGCAAGATCCGCGCAGCATCAACAAGCAATGTATATTCCGATACGTACAAGATGGCACAAAGTGGCACAGCGGAAGGTTTGAAGAGAAGATCTGATCTGATCTGGACTGACCCGACATCCATCACACATCACACGTGGGAGAGTGGGAGGAGGGACCACACACATGGAAGAAAGTTCCCTCCTGCGCACACATACATAGGGAGGTACCATGGATGAGAGATGGGGGAAGGGGCGAGACGAGGAGGAAGGAGGCGAGGGAGTAGACCAAGATCGCAATAGCAAAGCCCAAAAAAATAGTCCCTTGCCGAGTGTCCAATCAATGTCTGTCCCAGAAATGTTGAATCAGATCCTGGGCAATGCGCTCAGCATAACCTCTGCCTGAATCCCTACCGATAACCTCTCACACTCTCAGGTTCGAAGAAGAAGAGATAAGGAGGAAGGAGGGAGAAGAGAGAGAGAGAGAGAGAGAGAGAGAGAGAGAGAGAGAGAGAGAGAGAGAGGGAGAGAGGGAGATGGAGGGAGAGAAGAAGTAGCCCTCCTCGCTATCTCACCTGCAGGTAGCTGTCACTGAACTGACTTCGTCCGTTGCTGTGTGCAGGTACCGCGTGGAGCCCAGCTATGGCGCCAGGTAAGCTCGCCGATGCAGGTATGGCCTCCGCCACTCCCTATCTCCTCTAACCTCTACTCCCTACTCTGCTACGCAGCGCAGCCTTCAACCAGCAGCATGTCGCTCAGAAGTGAGCGACCCGAACTGTCCTCGGCCCAGCCGCTGCCCAGCTATTTGTAGCGCTGGGCGGCTG